ATAGAACTCATAGACAAAAATTTACAGCAAACAGAATATATAAACCTTGAATATTCCTCAAAGTTTTCTTCTGATCATCTTCAATAGGATTTTCCTCAGTTTCCACATTATAGGTCCTAAAATATATGCATTTGTTAAGCAGTCATAAATGTAAAAGGTTACTTTCATAGATATGTATTATACTCTACATATAAATTAGAAAAAACAGATTTTCTGATTTGTAAAATATTGTATATGTATTTATATTATCCAGAAAAAAAATTACATTAAATGGGATTTCAGTCAGACATTATATAAAAACATTCAATGAATCTATTAAATCTGCAAAGGCAAAAAACATTGCATTTTAATCAACAGTGCTAGAAATATCCCATTAGAAGATACAGAATATATATTATCTTTCTCCATCTTACTACTTTTCACTTTAGAAGCCACAATCTGTACAAACTATTTCTGAACTTTCTTTTAACAACAGACCCATAAAGAGATACTTTCAATCACCCATTCAAGATGTATCATGCCATGCTTAGTTGAGACCACAACCATCTTCTTTACTTCCTAGAGATCCATAATATGCCAAAGATGTTTCTTTGAAAGTCTGATTAGAAAGTCTGACTTCTAGACAACACCCATTTTATATAAATCTTTAAAATTCCTGCTCTTACCAGTACTTACTGGCCCAGTTCATAGACTGTCTAATTATGGATTATTGAACAAGTCATCATAGGATAAGGTATATATGATATGCAAATATACTAAGCCAAAAAATATGACTTATACCTTACAATTTACTTCTTATAATCTCTAAATTCATAAAACATGAATTATTTGGCAAAGCCAAATAAACTACATTATATATCAAAATGATGTATTATCAGTGACTATATCTTCTAATCTATTATTTTTGAAGATTATAGCATATTCTTTTTCTTACCTGAAATAACTCCTACTGATTTATTAGACTATCATTAAAGTTCTAGAAAGACCAACAAGAATCAGACAGAAGCATGAAATAACCATTACAGTAAGACACTGGCAATTCTTTTCTTCTATTTACAGGTTTTCCTTTATAAACAATAATGTAACTGTCAATTAATTCTAACTTTTGAAATGAAACTATTAAACTAGCCTTAAATAATCAAATTTTCTTCATATGTGTTAAGAACTTGTTTGGAATTCTTGAACATATAATTTCAATATTTCTGAGGGACCTACATTACATATAGTTCTGCAATTCTTTTTAAGAATTATAAATGTTTATATGCCTTAATTATAAATTAAGGCATATAAATAAAATGAACCTTGAACCTTGAACCTTTTGTTTGAATTACATAAGACTGCAATTTAAGGGGAAATTAGCTTTGACCTGAAATGGAAAAAAAAAGATGCCATTTTGAATTGTATGGTACCTCTCTTCAAACAAATTCCAAATTGCCTTTTTTAGAAACAGTAACTATAACATAAGTAATGTTAGATGTAGATACACATTTTTTCTGTGCTCCGGAGGAGTTTCTATCTTCTACAAACACCCAGTCATATATTAACATTCTGCTATGTGTACCTCTAATCAGGTATTAACATTTATGTTAGAGAAACACAAACAAACCCTCAAGCCAATAGATATATAAAATATTTTTGATCAACAAAGAGGATTCATGAGCAGATAGTCTAATTCCACTTACTTTAGAAACGTTTTGGCCATTTCATCAATATTTGTGACACGGATTGTAAACAATGGTTTCTGCTTAACACTTTCAGGAAGACCAGGATGCTGAAGGCTCAAAAAAGTTAGGTCTGCCCCCTGTGATCAATAATATAAGAATGATTTAAAAGTACAGTCAATTTTTATTCTATTCCACAAAATATTAGTACAATCTTAAAGAGGTGAATTATTTCAAATATGTCTGACTTTGAGAAATTAGAAAGCATGATGCAATATGAGACAAAATCTTCTGTGTTATCCATTCAGTTTTCTGCAAGGACAGTAATTTTAATGGACAACATCTATCTACTGTTTTGTCTCCAGTTATCTTTTCTGCTGTATGCCTGCCCAATTATATATGAATATTTTGTGCATTCTCCCTCAATTGCCAAATGATCTCCTCTAAATAAGCGGCTTTTCTGTCACAATACTCATTTACTAACAGACAACATCTAACTTCCATGATTTTGACTGTTTTACTTATTGCCTCTGAATTTATCCCACAACTGAGAAGAGTTGGAGTACAGGATTATAAGTTTCAAGACTAAAATATTCTTTTGAGATCCAAGGGAAGCAGAATTTATTCAAGATTAAGAGTTGAATTCCTTATCTTTATAGATGAACACAACAGAAAAATTCTGTTTCTCATATAACAGAAAAATATTTTTAAGTCAATCAATTGCTCAAGTTCTTTTGTAACTTTTTTGACAAATTGAAAGAAAGTAATATCTTGATTCAACTAATCCACGTCCAATTGTATGTAGATGCAACACTCTTTATATAGAAAAAAATGTAATTCTGAGAAATCTATAATCTTCAAAGAAGCAGGAAGAAAATCCATATAGACTTTTCATACAGTAATTCCAGTAACTTTTGTATTTTTCTTTTAATTGGTTTATTTTTTTTCTCTTAATCAGGTGTATATATTAAGATGTTGATAAAACTTAACATAGAATGCATAGTGTGTGAACAATATAGTTTTCAGGCTATAAAAATCTACACAGATTCCAACAGGCAAAAATAATTGTCACAGATTGCCTACAGACTTGCTGTAGGGATAAGAATGACTACAGAATTGCTATTATCACTTATAGCCACATCAGAGACTATATATCAGCATCCAATGTATGCATTTACTAAGGCATAAATATTCTTCATTCCGATACTCATTGAATAATTGTATTAAGGATATAAAACACTATGTTATCTGCTTAACACTTCTTCGGTTTAATGTACAAATTCATACTCCCAAGATTTTATGCTGTAAATTCTAAATGTTCTAATATTGTTTTGTTACCCAAATTACTGTCAGGTTAATACAGTGACAAATGACTCTATGTACACATTTCTTTATAGCCTGAAAGTGCAGCTCCTGTAATGAACATTATTGCTATACTGTTATTAGTAATAATTTCTTGAATTCTAAAAAAAGAGACAAATAACTATATTTTGAAAGAAATTCCTTTGTGGGGCAAGGTTGAGCATCAGGGTTTAGTCCCCATGGTCTAATCCTAAAGTTCAATGTTGCCCAACAGAAACCAGCCATAAACACCTAAACGAGTAAATTCCTCCATTTTTAGAAGTTCCAGTGCATGTGTTTTGATTCTCAACACTTTGATTAAAAAGTTGGTTTATGTTTTACCAAATTAAATAAATAAGGATTAATCGCTTTAAGAAGCAACACAATCCTATTCATTTAATCATAAAAGATAATACAAGTTGAGCTCAATAATTTTCCTCAACTGGCCATCTGCCCTCTTGTGGCAAAGGAAAGATATGTAGCCTTAAAGCAACTAAAAAACAAGTATTTTTTATTTAGCTTGCAACTAAAGAATTAGAGTAAGATCTTTCTGAATATTACTTTGATTGTGGATCTGATCAATGTAATCAGAAAAAAATAGCAATAGCAATAGCAGTTAGACTTATATACCGCTTCATAGGGCTTTCAGCCCTCTCTAAGCGGTTTACAGAGTCAGCATATCGCCCNCAGATATAATAAATTAAAGTGTTTTTTAAACTGAATGACTATAATCTCCCTGCACCTAAAAATGGTAGCAATACAAACCATTTTTATTAACTAGACAAGCTGTGCACATTGGTCATCATTTCAGATATTTTCTTACCTAAACAGAAAAACAGAATGACCATGGACAGGCAAAAAAAAACAGTGGGAGTGTCCAACTTCCTGCTTATTTCCCCTTGACTTTCCTTGTGGGAAACTGGTAGGAAGCATTAGAAATTGATCTTCCTTTCTTCTCTTCTCTTCCACTCTTCCTTTCTACCTTCTTCCCTCCTCCTTTCTTCCACCCCTTCCTATCATTGTCATTTTCTTTCTTTTCTTCTTCCCTTTTCTTCCTACCTCCTTCCCTGTCATTCTGTCATCTTCCTTCCTTTTCTCCCTCCCTTCCCCCTTCTTCCTTCTTTCCCTCCCTCCCACCCTCCCTTTCTTGCTTCCCTGCCTCCTTCTCTCCTTGCCTTCCCCCTGTCTTTTTCTCACTCCCTGTCAATTTGCTATTATTGTCCTTCCTCCTCCTTCCTACCTTCCTTCCATCCATCCCAGGGGTAAAATCAATGGGGAAGCCAGCAGAAGTTGCAAGGTTAACTTCAGGTAAGATGATGCTGCCAGGTGGGGGAGGAAGAGAGGGGATGCACAGGGATGCAGGTCAGGAATGTACATGAGATGTGTGAGAGGTACCATCTACATTTGGAGGGATATGTGGGTGTGTGCCATAGATGCCGCATGGGCTGGGGAGGGTGCACAGCAGAGGTGGGTTGCTGCTGGTTCGGCCCAGTTCAGCCAAACCGGTAGTGGTGGCAGAAAGAGGCTCCGCCCACCCACCCACTTCTTCACAGAAGCAGTGTGCGAGCATGAGAGAACCAGTAGTAAACAAATTAGCAACCCACCACTGGTGCACAGGTGACTTTGTAGGTTGGGAAGGGTGCCCATGGATAAAGAAGAGGTGAGGATTGGATGGGTAGAGTCTGTGGGAGAGTGGAATAAGTCAAGAAGGATGCAAGCAAGTGGCTGCTGCTGGGTGGGGGATAGAGAGAGGAACTGCAAAACTGGCTGGGAAACTGTCATGGAACAATGGAAAGGAAGATCACATGACCGCAGAAATAGCCAGTAGCTCAAGGCAACCTCAAATTTCACAAATTTTATTCTCTTGGGAGTCATGGGTCCCAGATTTTAGATCTGTAAATTAGCTGCTTTGAGGTACCTAGATTCAAAACATGTTGCCCTTCTAATGCACTGTTTTACCTAGTTATGACAACAAGAGTTTTAGTAGTATATAGATACCTGCTATAACCTGAGGATGTTTTCTAGCACAATAACATTTCTTGATATCTACCATAGGGATCCTGCCAATTTTATTGTAATCCAGCTTCATATAAGCCTAAAAATAAATCAGAAAAAAATGTGAGCATCAAATATATGAAACAAATGTTTATACACATCTGTTATTTTTACATAAAAATAAACAAAGTAATATTAACAAAATTAAATAAACATGCTACATGTACAATCTTTATTTGTGGAATAACTGACCTTACATAAATGTTTGGGAAAAGAGAGAAATTAAAGAATTGGGTACTCCTAACTGAATCAACATCGGTGCAAGGAAGCTTTTAAAATTTTCTCAGGACAGTAAGTTTTGTTCAATCAATATCTTATAACAATATATTTTCTACTTAGAAATCTGAATGGGTTTTTTTGTCAACACTACCAATTCCTTAACACATTTTCCCTGTTGCATAAACAGTAAAAAAATTTCTCACTGACTCACTATTTTCACACTGACAATTTTCTTCAGATGACACAGAAATAATTTTTCTTACAGTAAACCAAAACTTGACATTCTCCCGCCCAAAACCAGTGAAGCATTATGCAGGTTAAGAGTATTCAACTTTTAATACATGAAGTATAGTCTTAAATAAGATTACTTACTTTCCTAACAAATGCTTTTCTGTATTCATCCATTTCTCCAAGAATAGCACGAATAAATTCAGTGTAATCAAGTTCACCATTATTGTCATCATGTAGAACTAACCATAAAGATTCAAAATCCTAGATTTAAAATATCAAGTTAAATTAAGTGCTGCATACGTAACTAACAAAGTAAGTACTGCGACATAAGCATTAGCAAAACCCAAATTAATGTTTCAGGGCATTAATCTTAAAATTGGGCATTTCTTTAAAAACATTGATGTAAATTTTAAAACACCAACATTAATATTTAGTGTTTCAGATGTCACCAAAGCAGCAGGTCAAACAATCCATCAGGTTGAAGAAGGGAAGACAAAGGCTAACTAGCTTCATTTGCTTTCTTCATATTTACTATAACAACAACAACCAGGTAAGTAAGTATAATTCACCTCCAGCTTATGTTACAGCTCTTCTCCTATTGGCTAGAACAGTGATGATGAGTCTATAGCATGCATGTCAAAAGTGATACATCACTATGTTTTGGATGACATGCCAGCATTCACCAACAACCAATAACTACGCTTAAAATGTGTCCTGTCCGCGTGCAATTTTTGGAGGCTACAGTGTGCAAGAATGGGATATGCTCTCATGCAGCCTTTAGACCCGGCAAAACTTACATGAGAGGGCTGTGCTCTCACATAATCTCTGGAGCTTCTGAAAATCATGCAAGAATGAGGCATGCTTTCACATGGTTTTCAGAGACACAGAAGAGCATTCTTCGAAGCTACTTCAAGAATGAAGGCCTCATAAAACTTAGAGTAGCCTCAGGTAGGCCATAGGGGCATATATCAACAGAAAGAGAATATGGCCTAAAAGTAAGCAGCAGAAAGTAAGCAACAAGCTGGTCCTGCCTGCGGGGCAATTGCACTGTTCGCCAAGCTCAAGAGTTACTTTCCATGAAGGTCCAAATAACCAAGTTCCTTTTAGTATTATATTTCTTATTTATATATGCATGCATTCATATTTACCAATTTGCTAACTACAACTTATGTGGGGTAACATCAGATTGAAACACATGAGAAAGTAATCAATAAACATAATGACTGTAAAAGCACAATGCAAAATACCCCCAAACCATGAAAGTCCTTGTGCTTTGGCCCTGAAGGGGTCTTCTGCCTGGCTAAGTTGTCCAAAGGCCATCCTGAAATAATATCACTGGGATTTTCCCCCCATATGAAACCTCTAATTGGAGTCTCTTAAATTCCCAATCTGAAAAACTGTACATGTTCTTTATATATCATGCCATCTCATCCTCCTGCTTTGTGTGGTCTATTTCTTTCCAGTAAATTGTTATCTTTCAATCTTTGTAAATTGTTCATGAATTACATCCCACAATGTTGAAGAAATGCCTATTAAATTGTATCTACCCTCTTAGATAAGGATTTTGACATACCTCTTCAGTCATTTCTAAATGAAATACTTTTAGTGCTTGCCTGTAGTCTGCTTTTGTAATATTTCCATTTTGCTTCTTGTCCAGTTCGCGGAAATATTTTCCTAGTCCTGATACAATACGAACTCCTCTTTTACTTAATTTTGTTCTTAGATTATCTAGAGAAGAAATTTTAAATGGTTGATTAAAATTGTTGATTATTTTTTTTCTCTTAAATACAGTAATTGTTTTCAAATATGTAAAAAGTATGACCTAATTACCTCAATATTACCTTTTAATGACATAGTGAAGAATAATTATTTTCTAATCCTGCTATATTAGGAAATCACTGGAGATGCTCAGAATTTATCCTAGGATATTCTACACATAAAGAATTATCCCATTTTGACAGAACATTACTAATATCGAAGAAAACTCTCATTTTTTCTATATCAAAAAATTATATTACCTACAATCCAGAGATGGGTTCCTACCAGTTTGGACTGGTTCCTGCCACGCCCCTGAACCAGTTCTCTCGGTGGCAGCTTAG